GAAGGGAGCAGGGATCATCATGGGCCTTCCCGAAAGAGCAGGGATGATCGTGGGCTTTCCCGAGGGGAGCAGGGATGGTCGTGGGCACTCCCGAGGGGAGCAGGGATGGTCGTGGGCACTCCCGAGGGGATCAGGGATGGTCGTGGGCACTCCCGAGTGAGCCGGGATGGTCACGGGCACTCTCGAGGGAGCCGTGGTGATCGCAGGCACTCCCTAGGAAGCGGGGATGGTCGTGGGCACTCCCGAAAGGAGTAGGGATGGTCGTGAGCACTGCTGAGGGAACAGGGATGGTGGTCGGCCTTCACGAAGTTAGCAGAATTGGCTGCGGGCACTCCCTTGGGAGCCGGAAAGGTCATCCCGGGCGCTCCCGAGGGAGCAAGAATGGTTGTGGGCACTCCTGAGGAAGCAGAGATGGTCGTGGGCACTCCGGAGGGGGTATGAATGTTCGTGGGCCTTCTCGATGGAACAGGGATGGTCGTTGGCCTTCCCGATGGAGGAGAGATGATGGTGGGCACTGCCGAGGGAGCAGGGATGGTGTGGGCCTTGCCGAGGGAGCATGGCTGGTCGTGGGCACTCCCGAGGGAGCAGGGATGATCGTGGGCCCTCCCCAAAGGAGCAGGGATGGTCGTGGTCACTCCCGAGGGAGCAGGGGATGATCGTGGGCCTTCCCGAGGGAGCAGGGAATGGTGGTGGGCACTCCCGAGAGAGCAGGGATGGCCGTGGGCACTCCGGAAGGAGCAGGGATGGTCGTGGGCACTCCAGAGGGAGCAGGTATTATCGTGGGCAATCCCGAGGGAGCAGGGATCTTTGTGGGCCTACCCGAGGGAGCAGGGATGGTCGTGGGCCTACCCGAGGGAGCAGGGATGGTCGTGGGCCTTCCCGAGGGAGCAGGGATGGTCGTGGGCCTTCCCGAGGGAGCAGGGATGGTCCTGGGCCCTCGCGAGGGTGTTTACACAGTGCACAGACTATCTCCAAGGGCAGAGATACAAACAGAACTGTTTGAACAGATCTAAACAGAACTGTTCTGATCCGTTCTTGCGGTCACTCAGTAGATTCTACATGGTTATCCCGGCTTGGCGTCTTCTTTTGATAATTACTTATTCGGTAGATCCTGGCGTATGTTTTATCATCTCTAGAGTGAGAGAAATATCGCTCGATTGTTATTTATTACACTCTGTAGAGTCCATTTAGGGCTTTGGAGTGCTAACGCTCAAGAGGCATATTTCCAATAGGCATCGTATTTTGGAAAACTAAATGTGAATTATGGGCAAAATATGACCAATTGCCGTTTTCACTAATTTCAATATTTTCGGTATAAAAAAAGCGTAATTTTAAACTCCAAATATGTGCAATCACCCTGAATTCCGCTCTTGTCAAGGGTGCTTCTGTAGAGGTCCTTCTGAGGTCCATATATGGCTCTACCCATCTCTGATTGTTGTAGATTCAGGAGGGTTAATATCCCATCAGCCCGGTCTCTGACCACGCCTTCTGGTTGCTGGTCTGATCCACCAGGCTATTTGATGCGGCTATTAGCATCCTGACGTTGTTGTTGTTGTTGTTGTTTTAGATTCAGCTACTCTGACCAAAAGCTGCGAGCAGCACGGGCTATGGTAAGCCCGTAGTGCACATCGCAGCCTGACGTATATGTCACAGCCTCGTTGATCAGGTATCCTTTGTAGGTGCTTGTCATATGTTACTAGCTACATATGCTGTACATATTGTACAGCATATATATCGAGAACACTATTCTATGTAATATAATGATGTAATATAATGCAGCCCAATTAATAATTATAGATAGAATATTCAACCTAATCTATATGTAGTGTATTCCACTATAACATTCTCCGCATCATGTGAAACATACAGCAGTGCCCATCTTATCCTCACTAATTACTGTACTTCTTTAATATTAGACAAAGGAATTTAGAAATCTTTCACATTCTATAATAACAAGCAAAATGAGAGATCCGTAGTAATAACTCTACCTAACTTGGCAGTGTATTAACCATGTATATATACCAGTTATGAATGCGTGTTATTTTGAGGTCTACTCGATCGTAACACTTGCGTCCCTCCGCCCCCGTAGGTACGGGGGGTGGATGGAGCTGTTGGTGGACGAGGGAGACGGCCCGCTCTACAACACCACGCCCACCCCGCCCTCGCTGCTGGGCTGGATGCTGCCTCTTGTGGTGGATAGGCACGAGGGCGTGCATGTGGGCGGCTCGCCAGAGTATGTGGGCGTGAGTCTCCACGCCGTACATAATGACTACCGTGATGGTGGGTACCTGTACTATACTACGTGCCCACACACCTGGCCATTGACAAATACATTTAAGACTTTTCTGCTTCAAAATCTTTTATACTATTTCACATGAAAATCCTGAATCTTTTTAAAATGAATGTCTGTAACTAATTGTGCTTCGCTCCACCCCATCCCCAGGCTGTCTGGATGACTTGAGGGTGTCTGGAGTAAGGCTTCCTCTCCCTCCACTGACCAACACATCGTCCACGGCACAGGCCGCGATGTTCACTAATGTTCACGCTTCCTGCCTCGCTCCAGCCGTCTGCACCAACGTCTCCTGCACACAGCCACTTACCTGCGTTGATGTCTGGAGGAGGCATCAGTGTGGGTCAGTATATGTCTGGAGGTATCAGTGTGGGTCAGTATACTGTGTGTCTGGAAGAGGCACCAGTGTGGGTCAGTATACTATATGTCTGGAGGACACACCAGTGTGGGTCAGTATATGTCTGGAGGTATCAGTGTGGGTCAGTATACTGTGTGTCTGGAAGAGGCACCAGTGTAGGTCAGTATACTATATGTCTGGAGGACACACCAGTGTGGGTCAGTATATGTCTGGAGGTATCAGTGTGGGTCAGTATACTGTGTGTCTGGAAGAGGCACCAGTGTGGGTCAGTATACTGTATGTCTGGAAGAGGAGGAGGCACCATTGTGGGTCAATATATGTCTGGAGGAGGTCGACTTTTTCCGTAAGTGGTGTTCTTAAATTCAGGAGAATTGTGTACAGGTCGCATGCTCTTAAAAGTATGAAATCAAACCTGCAAGTATTTTTCTTATTAACACTTTCGCGCGCCCAAGTGCACCCGGCGAACAAGGAAAAAAGTTAGTGCAATGTGCTCTCGGCGTTTGCGGGCAATCGAGCAGAAACACTGAAAAGTGTATACTCTTTTTCCCTGTCCTGATCTTAATTTTTGATCTACAGATTTCATTTCTTTACCAATGTGTTCGCAATAGAATGTTCTACAAGAACATATGTATAAAATGTCACCAAACTGTGATTTAAACCACTATCAATAAAGAAAATACATGGATCACTAGCTGTGAGTTAGTGCGTGAGCTCCAAACAGTGAAGAGATGTTTCCATTCTTTTCAGGGTTGTCGACTCCACACTTGTCCTACAGCGTTAAATTTGGTATCTTTAAGATCGCAATAAAATTCCCTACACGGACATATGCAAATAAATGAAGAATGATGATCGCGGCCCACCCGCAAGAGTGTGGGAAGTGGGCGAAGTGTTATGTTACCGCACATCGGCGATCTACAATAGTTTTACCACGAAGATACAAGACAATGCCGTTCTCTCAAATAGGCTATGTGGCTACTAAAGAAAACGTAGATTTTATGGCAAACATGTTGATACTATCCCCAAGTCGATCGGATAAGAATTGAGTTTTTACAGAAATATTTGTTCGTCGGACATAAAAAGATGTCCAACACTAACACACGGTAGGCGTCAAGTGACCCGCGTGTTATAATTGCCTTGCAAGACGAAATTATTGTCTTTGTACAATTTCCCAAACAATTGTTCCAACTGTCTTGTGTGTCCTTTGTTAATCAGCAACAATACTTTTTTATTTAATCACTAGGGGGAAGGGGAGAGAAGGGTGTACCCTGCTGCTCCCATGTCTCTTTCACTTACCCCTCTCTTTTCTCTTTCCCTATCCTCCCCCTATTCTCTCTCCAACTTTCTCCCCCAAGGCCCCCCCCTCTCCCCTGTTCTCTTCAAACATTCCCCTTTCTCCTTGTTTGTTTAAACATCTTTCTTTCCTCCCCTTCCCCCCCCCCGCCCCAACCATCTCTGTTTCAGTGTAATACTGAATTGATGTGCATCAAAATCTAGGGACTCGGCAAGTTACCTTTCCCCAGTTATGTGGTGGGGGTCACTATTAGGCATCACCACACCAGCCCCTCTTAATAAAACCAATAGGACCGACTCCAACCGGTCTGTGTCCATCCTGTACTCCAGACCACTCGCCCTGCAAAGTTGGGTGAGGCTAGCTTCAAGTGTCTGGCTTGAAACCTCATTCAAATGTCAAACATTTTCTTGTACAGACAAGCGTGTTATGTAGTATATATTGCCTCACATCAAACTCGGGAAGGATAAGTACAAAACTGTATTTTCATTTGCATTGGTCATACTTCACTCCCAAATTCATAATAAGCATGTGTGCTATAGGTGTGGAGAGGGTGCAGCGCTTATGAGAGACACTGGAACCTGCAGGGATGTGAACGAGTGCTTGTGGTCTCCTTGTTTCAACGGAGGCACCTGCTTGAATCAGGAGCCAGGGTACCTATGCTTGTGTTCAAAGTCCTTTACAGGTGAGTGCATATGTAACATCATGTACATTGAGCGTTTCACCTTCATTCTGAAAATAGATTTAGATACACAATACTCTTCAAGATGTATTTATATAGATGTATTCAAACATGTTCCATACCTCACACATCTCTGCAGTAAGGTATCCCCACTCGCATAGTATAGGCAGCACTTTGAAATGCAATCTGTCAGAGGCATTAACATTTCTTAAGTGTGTTAAATAATATATATTCGAGTACCTTCCTTCCTTAAGCAAGAGCAAATATATTTAAGCATAGGTTACATATATGAGAGAGTTTCGTTGGGTATAATTAGGAGCTGCCTCTCATGGTCTGGTTAATGATTGTGGTAGTTGATGACAGGGCTAGGTGGTGATTGTGGGAATTGATAATGATGAGGCTGGGTGGTGATTGTGGAAACTGTTGTATTGGTGATTGTAAAAGATGTATTACTGGTATTGAGAGCAAGGGAGATTACCTGGACATGTCCAGGTATGATTGTGGCATACTTCTATCACTTGACTTATTCATCACACACTGGCATTTTTGAAAACCTGACATATAAAAATCTCCAGCCTTAATCAACTAAAAAGCAGAGTAGAAAGGTTCACTATAATGACATGAATTTGCCCGCATTGTGAATATTCTTGGACCACTATGGTATTGTTAGTAGTATCGGTTGCAATACATACATATATACATGTGCATTCCTGCAACCTTTCTCACATAAGCCATTATTAAATCACTAAGAACTCTATATAACCTGACCAGGATTCGAACCCGTGACATCCAGGATCACCCCTAAACGAACACGGTACCATGACCACTGCACCATTGATCGTCTATCAGAGATCAATGGTGCGGTGGTCACGGTACCTTGTACGTTTAGGGGTGATCCTGGATATCATGGGTTCGAATCCTGGCCAGGTAATATAGAGTTCATAGTGATATATACATAAATATGAGGAAGCATTCTAAGCAGATTGCCTGCCTCAGGTGAGCACTGCGAGGTGGCTGGGGGCAGACGCACGTCATTCAGCCTCTCCTTCAGCGCCCTCATCATCGTTCTCGTCTTGTCATTGGTCATCTTGGGTAAGTAGCTTTTTGTCTCTAGTCTAGTGGCCACAGAGGTGACCATTATGTGGAAGTGTACACAGCTATTCTCTCCACAAAATGTTTCCGATATCCATCACCTTAAACTTGATGTTGAAATCAAGAAGCCATTTCTCGGATAAACTTTGCAGCTTGTCCAAGTCCTTAGACAATCTTACAATCCTCATCTATCTCGACTCATTTTTTTCATCAATGTTACATCGTTTGGAAACATCAACATGTAAAACAGCTCATGTAGTTAGGTAATTAACATAATATGAGAAATAGTGTGGGTCCCAGCAGCGATCCTTGATCGCACCACTTCTCACCCTATGCTACTCAGACTTATCACCCCCTCACTGTGAATTTGATCCCTGTCTTTTAGGTATTCTCTTACACACGTCAGTGCTTTTCTGCTTACTCCCGCCTGCCCCTCAAGTTTATGTAGTAAACTCTTGTACGGCACTGTACCAAATACTATTTGGCAGTCCAGAAATGTGCAACCTGCCCAATCTTATCTGTCTTGCCATATTTTTGTTCGCGCGGTTTTTGGCCGGTAGCGGCGAAAATCGCGCTATTTTTGCCCGCCAGCTGCAAAAATCGCATAGTTACTGGCCGCTAGCGGCGAAAATCGCGCGATTTTTGGCCGCTAGCGGCGAAATGCGCACGATTTTTGGCCGCTAGCGGCGAAATTTGCACGATTTTTGGCCGCTAGCGTCGAAAATCGCACGGTTTTTGGCCGCTAGCGGCGAAAATCGCGCTATTCTTGGCCGGTAGCGGCGAAAATCGCGATTTTTGCCCACCAGCTGCGAAAATCGCATAGTTTTCAGCCGCTAGCGGCGAAAATCGGGCGGTTTTTGGCTGGTAGCGGCGAAAATCGCGCTATTTTTGCTCGCCAGCTGCAAAAATCGCATAGTTACTGGCCGCTAGCGGCGAAAATCGCGCGATTTTTGGCCGCTAGCGGCGAAATTCGCACGATTTTTGGCCGCTAGCGGCGAAATTCGCACGATTTTTGGCCGCTAGCGGCGAAATTTGCACGATTTTTGGCCGCTAACGGCGAAAATCGCCCCATTTTTGGCCGCTGGCGGCGAAAATAGCCCCTTTTTTGGCCGCTAGCGGCGAAAATCGCGCGATTTTTGGCCGGTAGCGGCCAAAATCGCGCGATTTTTGCCCGCCAGCTGTGAAAATCGCACTGTTTTTGGCCGCTAGCGGCGAAAATCACGCGGTTTTTGGCCAGTAGCGGCAAAAATCGCCCGATTTTTGGCCGCTAGCGGTGAAAATCGCACGGTTTTTGGCCGCTAGTGGCGAAAATCGCGCTATTTTTGGCCGGTAGCGGCGAAAATCGCGCGATTTTTGCCCGCCAGCTGCGAAAATCGCATGGTTTTTGGCCGCTAGCGGCTTAAATCGCGCGATTTTTGGCTTGTAGCGGCTTAAATCGCGCGATTTTTGCCCGCCAGCTGTGAAAATCGCACGGTTTTTGGCCGCTAGCGGCGAAAATCACGCGGTTTTTGGCCGGTAGCGGCGAAAATCACGCGATTTTTGACCGCCAGCTGCGAAAATCGCACGGTTTTTGGCCGGTACCGGCGAAAATCGCGCTATTTTTGGCCGGTAGCGGCGAAAATCACGATTTTTGCCCGCCAGCTGCGAAAATCGCATGGTTTTTGGCCGCTAGCGGCGAAAATCGCGCGGTTTTTGGCCGGTAGCGGCAAAAATCGCGCTATTTTTGCCCTCCAGCTGTAAAAATCGCACGGTTTTTGGCCGCTAGCGGCGAAAATCACGCGGTTTTTTGCCGGTAGCGGCAAAAATCGCCCGATTTTTGGCCGCTAGCGGCGAAAATCGCGCGATTTTTGGCTGGTAGCGGCTTAAATCGCGCGATTTTTGCCCGCCAGCTGTGAAAATCGCACGGTTTTTGGCCGCTAGCGGCGAAAATCGCGCGGTTTTTGGCAGGTAGCGGCTTAAATCGCGCTATTTTTGCCCTCCAGCTGTAAAAATCGCACGGTTTTTGGCCGGTAGCGGCGAAATTCGCGTGATTTTTGCCCGCCAGCTGCGAAAATCGCATGGTTTTTGGCCGCTAGCGGCGAAAATCGCGCGGTTTTTGGCAGGAAGTGGCAAAATTCGCGCTATTTTTGCCCGCCAGCTGCAAAAATCGCATGGTTTCTGGCCGCTAGCGTCGAAAATAGCGCGGTTTTCGGCCGTTAGCGGCAAAAATCGCTTGATTTTTGGCCGCCAGAGGCGAAAATCGCACGGTTTTTGGCCGCTAACGGCGAAAATCGCGCTATTTTTGGCCGGTTGCGGCGAAAATCGCGATTTTTGCCCGCCAGTTGCGAAAATCGCATGGTTTTTGGCCGCTAGCGGCGAAAATCGCGCGGTTTTTGGCCGGTAGCGGCGAAAATCGCGCTATTTTTGCCCGCCAGCTACAAAAATCGCATAGTTTCTGGCCGCTAGCGGCGAAAATTGCGCGATTTTTGGCCGCTAGCGGCGAAATTCGCACGATTTTTGACCGCTAGCGGCGAAATTTGCACGATTTTTTGCCGCTAGCGTTGAAAATCGCCCCATTTTTGGCCGCTAGCGGCGAAAATAGCCCCTTTTTTGGCCGCTAGCGGCGAAAATCGGTCGATTTTTGGCAGGTAGGGGCGAAATTCGCGCAATTTTTGCCCGCCAGCTTCAAAAATCGCATGGTTTCTGGCCGCTAGCGTCGAAAATAGAGCGGTTTTCGGGCGTTAGCGGCAAAAATCGCACGGTTTTTGGCCGCCAGCTGTGAAAATTGCACGGTTTTTGGCCGCTAGCGGCGAAAATCACGCGGTTTTTGGCTGGTAACGGCAAAAATCGCCCGATTTTTGGCCGCTACCGGCGAAAATCGCGCTATTTTTGGCCTCTAGCGGCGAAAATCGCGCTATTTTTGGCCGGTAGCGGCTTTAATCGCGCGATTTTTGCCCGCCAGCTGTGAAAATCGCACGGTTTTGGCCGCTAGCGGCGAAAATCACGCGGTTTTTGGCAGGTAGCGGAAAAATTCGCGCTATTTTTGCCCGCCAGCTGCAAAAATCGAATGGTTTCTGGCCGCTAGCGTCGAAAATAGCGAGGTTTTCGGCCGTTAGCAGCAAAAATCGCTTGATTTTTGGCCGCCAGAGGCGAAAATCGCACGGTTTTTGGCCGCTAGCGGCGAAAATCGCGATTTTTGCCTGCCAGCTGCGAAAATCGCATGGTTTTTGGCCGCTAGCGGCGAAAATCGCGTTGTTTATGGCCGGTAGCGGCGAAAATCGCGCTATTTTTGGCCGGTAGCGGCGAAATTTGCACGATTTTTGGCCGTTAGCGTTAAAAAACGCCCCATTTTTGGCCGCTAGCGGCGAAAATAGCCCCTTTTTTGGCCGCTAGCGGCGAAAATCGGTCGATTTTTGGCAGGTAGCGGCGAAATTCGCGCGATTTTTGCCCGCCAGCTTCAAAAATCGCATGGTTTCTGGCCGCTAGCGTCGAAAATCACGCGGTTTTTGGCCGGTAGCGGCAAAAATCGCCCGATTTTTGGCCTCTAGCGGCGAAAATCGCACGGTTTTTGGCTGCTAGCGGCGAAAATTGCGCTATTTTTGACCGGTAGTGGCAAAAATCGCGATTTTTGCCCGCCAGCTGCGAAAATCGCATGGTTTTTGGCCGCTAGCGGCGAAATCGCGCGATTTTTGGCCGGTAGCGGCAAAAATCGCGCTATTTTTGCCCGCCAGCTGTGAAAATCGCACGGTTTTTGGCCGCTAGCGGCGAAAATCACGCGGTTTTTGGCCGGTAGCGGCAAAAATCGCCCGATTTTTGGCCGCTAGCTGCGAAAATCGCACGGTTTTTGGCCGCCAGCGGCGAAAATCGCGCTATTTTTGGCCGGTAGCGGCTTAAATCGCGCTATTTTTGCCCTCCAGCTGTGAAAATCGCACGGTTTTTGGCCGCTAGCAGCGAAAATCACGCGGTTTTTGGCCGGTAGCGGCAAAAATCGCCCGATTTTTGCCCGCCAGCTGTGAAAATCGCACGGTTTTTGGCCGCTAGCGGCGTAAATCACGCGGATTTTGGCCGGTAGCGGCGAAATTTGCGTGATTTTTGCCCGCCAGCTGCGAAAATTGCATGGTTTTTGGCCGCTAGCGGCGAAAATCGCGCGGTTTTTGGCAGGTAGCGGCAAAATTCGCGCTATTTTTGCCCGCCAGCTGCAAAAATCGCATGGTTTCTGGCCGCTAGCGTCGAAAATAGCGAAGTTTTCGGCCGTTAGCGGCAAAAATCGCTTGATTTTTGGCCGCCAGAGGCGAAAATCGCACGGATTTTGGCCGCTAGCGGCGAAAATCGCGCTATTTTTGGCCGGTAGCGGCGAAAATCGCGATTTTTGTCCGCCAGCTGCGAAAATCGCATGGTTTTTGGCCGCTAGCGGCGAAAATCGCGTTGTTTCTGGCCGCTAGCGGCGAAAATCGCGCGGTTTCTGGCCGCTAGCGGCGAAAATTGCGCGATTTTTGGCTGGTAGCGGCTTAAATCGCGCGATTTTTGCCCGCCAGCTGTGAAAATCGCACGGTTTTTGGCCGCTAGCGGCGAAAATCGCGCGGTTTTTGGCAGGTAGCGGCAAAATTCGCGCAATTTTTGCCCGCCAGCTGCAAAAATCGCATGGTTTCTGGCCGCTAGCATCGAAAATAGCGAGGTTTTCGGCCGTTAGCGGCAAAAATCGCTTGATTTTTGGCCGCCAGAGGCGAAAATCACACGGATTTTGGCCGCTAGCGGCGAAAATCGCGCTATTTTTGGCCGGTAGCGGCGAAAATCGCGATTTTTGCCCGCCAGCTGCAAAAATCGCAGTTTCTGGCCGCTAGCGGCGAAAATCGCGCGGTTTCTGGCCGCTAGCGGCGAAATTCTCACGAATTTTGGCCGCTAGAGACAAAATTTGCACGATTTTTGGCCGTTAGCGTTGAAAATCGCCCCATTTTTGGCCGCTAGCGGCGAAAATAGCCCCTTTTTTGGCCGCTAGCGGCGAAAATCGCGCGATTTTTGGC